CTTCTTCAGGACCCCGGGCTAGCTCGGAACTCCTAGACTAGCTCAGGATCCCCGCACCTCCTTGGGACTCCCGGGCTAGCTTGGGACTCCTGGACTAGCTCAGGATCCCGGACTCCCTTGGGGCTCCCGGGCTCGCTCGGGACTTCCGGACTCGCTCAGGACTCCCACACTCACTTAAGATCCCCGGACTCCATTGGGACTCCCGGGCTAGCTTAGGACATCCGGATTCGCTCGGGACTCCCACACTCGCTCAGGACTCCCACACTCACTCAGGATCCCCGGACTCCCTTGGGACTCCCGGGCTCTCTCAGGATTCCCAGACTCGCTCGGTGAAGTCCCGGTAGGCCAGTCGCGCCACTAGGCTGATGATGATGGGGCGCGGCACTAGCCGCCGCACCCCTTGGCTGGTTACATGGTGTGGCACTAGCCGCCGCACCCCTTGGCTGGTTACAGGGTGCGGCACTAGCCGTCGCACCCCTGGGCCGGTGACGGGACGCGGCTCTGGCCGTTGCGCCCCTGAGGCCCTGGTCGTCTTGGGGGCCCGCCGCCTCTCCTCAGTCCCGCCGGTGTCTACCTGCTCTTCTGACATCACCCGGCGGTTGGTAACCGTCAGCTGCAATCTTTTCTGACGTCACGGGGCGTTTGGTAACCGTCAGCTGCAGTCCGCTCTGACGTCATGGGGCGGTTGGTAACCGTCAGCTGCAGTCCGCTCTGACGTCATGAGGCGTTTGGTAACCGTCAACTGCAGTCCGCTCTGACGTCATGGGGCGGTTGGTAACCGTCAGCTGCAGTCCGCTCTGACGTCATGAGGCGTTTGGTAACCGTCAGCTGCAGTCCGCTCTGACGTCATGAGGCGTTTGGTAACCGTCAGCTGCAGTCCTCTCTGACATCACGGGGCCGCTGGTAACCGTCAGCTGCAGTCCGCTCTGACGTCATGGGGCGGTTGGTAACCGTCAGCTGCAGTCCGCTCTGACGTCATGAGGCGTTTAGTAACCGTCAGCTGCAGTCCGCTCTGACGTCACGGGGCGGCTGGTAAACGTCAGCTGCAGTCTATTCTGACGTCACGGGGCGGCTGGTAACCGTCAGCTGCAGTCCGCTCTGACGTCACGGGGCGTTTGGTAACCGTCAGCTGCAGTCTGTTTCGAATGCTCGTCTTTACAGCCTTGGTCAATACGTTTTAGTGATATTAGCTGTGTCGCTGCTGGGTACGCACGCTGTGGACTTTGCAATGGCCCTTGCCAATGTGGCTAAAGGCCGGCCACATTCCGCGTTATTTATTATCATGGGCTCGTCGTGAAAGTCGTGCAATACCTCGTCGACAAGAGAAGCATGCAAGCACAAATATTCATTGGTGCATCCAAAGGGACAATGGAGCCACGACGTCCCAAAGGCGATGCACACTGCATGTTTTTATCGTCCCCTTCCCTCGGATTCCACGTGGGATTCGTCCATGCGAACATTTATACGTCAACAATAACGTGTTCAGCGACCCACAAAGAGCATCGTTGGAGATACACGAATAGCAGCCGCCTGTATCCTCGTGTGCTGTACCGCCCAACGCAGACATACTGCGGTACAGTCTACCACAAAAATCGGTGGAGACTTCAACGCAAACGATATTGGAAGCCGCGGCCGCAGCGTTGTGTACCAAATACGCTCACAGTAAAAATTGTTTGAAGCTGTTCACACCCTGAGCGTCTGGAGTACGTGCCAGATTCACGGGTCACTACCGTATTTGAAAGCGAACCTCGCGGCTCCTCTAATGCCTAACTGGACGTCAACTCTGGACAGACGAGTTTGGGGCTTGTGAGCAGCCTTAGCCGTACCATATGACACGTGATTGCCAGCGGTGCACTGCGATTCTGATATTTGAAGATGCTTTCTGCAGATAAGGTGGGTTTCTAGGCCATGAGCGAATTATGTTATTTGCGTTTTGGAACAATTGTGGTAAGCAATTTCCAATTCGAGATTGTCACTAGGACATCGTGAACGAATAGCCTATTGCAACTCTGGCTGATGATAGGCCACGAATGAAGGCGCCGTCCAGTGGGACGGTGACTTGAAAACGAAAGCGCTGACCTGGTCAACTTTGTGGCGCCCATTCTGATGCTTACGGCCACTGTGCGCCACGCTTTCAACCGAAACACGTCATGACTCATTACTATGTCAGCGGCAGTTTTAGATTGCGTCGAACTACCACAGCGCAAACTGGTGACCTTTAGATAACTTCAGGCTATGTCGGCCCCTTTGGATCGTGACAGCTCAACTAGATAAGAAAAATAGCAATACAGCATGCACCTGCACTCCGTGTATCAATAGCAAATGACGCCGATGAGAAGCCCACGAATAATATCGTCAACTGCCCAAGGCGGTTCATGAATGTCATATCCGGATACTGCCGCTCAGAAACTCCGCGTACTTATGTTCACTTCTCGTCAGACCTTTGGGACAAGCCGGGACGTGGTCGACTGCTCGGAATCCTAACGAATTAGTTAACTGT